TTTTTTTTTTATTAGAAAAGGTAACATACAAACAAAATGCACCTTACATTATATATTCAAAAGATAATCATTACATGCATACATATTCAACATTTTCACGTATATGAAAAAGAAAACAATAGAAAAAGAACATCTAAAGCTGGGGTCATCTAAGTAATAGATTATTGACTTACTAACTCAAAATCTTCTACAAAGGAAATAAACAAACCAGCTTTTTTCTTTTTAACTAAATTCAAAGATTTAAATAATAATTTTAAGTCATTTCTCCAATAGGCTAGTGTTGGTTTGGTCTTAAAAAATCGACATTTATGTATAAACTGTTTACAAAAAATTAATAACACATTAACACCATAACTAACTTTCTTTTCTTTCAAAAACACTCCAAACATTATCATATTTAAGGTAAATGGGGAAATTTGAATCCCACTAGAACAAAGCCAGGCATGAAAATCTAACCAAAATATTTGTATAAAATTGCACAAAAAAAATAGATGGTCTAAGTCCTCCTCTTCTGTTTCACAAAATACACAATTACCAGCTTCTATATTGAATCTATCCCCAAGGAGTCTATTGGTTGGGTAAATTTTATTCAAAATTTTAAATTGGACTTCTTTCCCTTTAGGAGCGATAGGGAAGGTGATATAATCACTTCTTATTTTTTCAATTTCTTCCCTTTGGAAATCTTTTAATATGTAATTACGTCTAAGTAAGTTTGGATAGAAGAGATTCCTTAATGAAGATCTTAGAAACTTATTATTGCATTTATCATCACAAAATCGAATATCTTCTATAAATAATTGTCTTAACCTGGGGGAGATGCCAGAATATATTATATCATTTACAACTATGTTTTTGAGTGACAGTGGAATTGATCTTATAACCCGATTAAATTTATTTTTAGAACATTGGATATTAAACTTTTGACAAAAATCTTGATGTTCTAGAACATGTCCTTCATTATCTACAAAATGGGCAATTGCCCAAACACCTTTGGAAAGCCAATCTTGGATAAAAATAGATTTTCTGTTCATTAGGATATATCTATTGTTCCAAATTGGGCTATTATGTGGAGTGAAGTTATGTTTAAATAACATTTTCCAATAAAGAAGGACCTGTTTATGAAATGCAGAAAGTTTAATAGGTAGCCTAGTAATTTCAAAGTCACATTTTAGAAGAAAATCGATACCTCCCAGTTTGTTAAAGACCTTACTTGGTATAGAAAACCAGATGGAGTGTGGATTATTTAGGAAGGATTTTATCCATTTCACTTTCAAAACACCATTCATTACATCAAAGTCAATTGCGTTTCCCCCACCTTCAATGTATGGTTTAACCAAATCATCTTTAGATATATAATGGCATTTATTTCTCCAAATAAAGTTAAAATTTAAGCTATTAATTGTTTTAATGATTTTATTTGATATTGATAAAGAGTAAGCTGGATATATAAATCTAGATAAACTATCCATTTTGGTTAATAATATTCTTCCAAAAATTGTGATGTCTCTTTGTAACCAGTTATTTAAGATTGTCTTACATTTGTCAACATTATCTGAAATATTTACTTTTTCCATCACTTTGTGATCTTTTGAAATTGTGATGCCCAGATATTTTACTTCCTTTTTCACCTGTATATCGTACAAAAACTGTGCCTGACATTCCTTTAACGCCAATAGTTCACATTTATTTAAATTTAATTTTAAGCCTGAAGCTTTTGAGAATGTAGTTATTATTTGTTTTACTAGGGGAATTTGATGTTCATTTTTTAAGAAAAGAGTAGTGTCATCTGCAAGTTGACTAATTATTAACGAATTATCTATAATCTCAATTCCGGCCACATTGCTATTTTTAATTAAAATTGCGAGCATCTCCACAACCATTATGAATAACAGCGGAGAGCTTCCACATCCTTGTCTAATTCCTCTTTTAATGCTAAATCTTTTACCAGTGCCATGGCCTAACGACACAGAGCTATTTATATCATTATATAGTATATCTATTATCTTCCTAAATTTATTCCCAAATCCAAATCGAGTTAGTGTTTCTAAAATAAAAGGATGTTCTACTGAATCGAAAGCTTTATAAAAGTCCAAGAAAAGAATAAAACTGTCATCTCTAATTAGATCATTGTAGTCCAGTAAGTCTAAAACCAATCTGATATTATTATGAATGTTCCTGTCTTTCAAAAACCCTGATTGTGTCTCACTAATTATACTTGAAACCCCTTGTTTAAGCCTTGTTGCAATTGAGCTAGAGAAAATTTTATAATCTGTATTTAGTAATGTTATAGGCCTTAAGTTATCCAATTGTCGCTTATCTTTGGTTGGTTTAGGAATTAATGTAATTAATCCTTGTTTCATGCTAGGCATCAATTCTCCCTTTTCAATACTGGCCAGTATAGCTTTGAATAAGATTTCCCTTAAGTCTTCCCAAAAAAATTGGAAGAAATTAACTGTAAGCCCATCTGGACCAGGGGATTTATTAAGCGCCATTTTCTTAATCAATGCATCTAATTCTTCAATTTTAAGGTCAGATTCACAAATTTCCTTAAATGATTCATTAATTTTGGGGATCAGATTATCTATTTGTTCAAAAAAGGCATCACAGTCTGCTTGAGAGAACTGTGAGGAGTATAAATTAGAATAGAATGTATAAGTTTCGTTTTCCAAGATTTTAGGGTCGTCACATTCAATACCATCAATTAACAGGGAAGATATAAGATTTCTTTTCTGTCTGCTCTTTTCTAAATTAAAAAAATATGAGGAATTTTTTTCCCCCTCCTCTATCCATTTAGCGCGTGAACGCACAAAAGCTCCTTCTGCTTTATTTAAGTAGAGCTGATCTAATTTAGTTTGCAACTCCATAAGTTTACTCTTTTCTTGGCTATCTAGATCATCCTTACTACAGTAATAAGTAATTTCTTGGAATAATTTACATTCATATTCTCTTTGCTTTCGACTTATATTTTTACTGAATTGAATAGTAAATTCTCTAATCTTGAATTTAATGAATTCCCATTTACTGATATATCCTACAATTAAACGGTCAGCCATAATATCTTTTATAATTTTTTTGACTATGTTGCAGTAATCTTCATTTTGTAAAAGTTTGGCATTGAACTTCCAATAAGTTCTTTTATTTGATTGTCTAATTTCCGATTTTAAGCATAGTTCAATAAAGCAATGATCAGAAAGAGGTGCATTTGACATCACAGCATTTACAGTGTGGTTAAGAATGTTGCCACTTCCTAGCCAATAGTCTATTCTAGATTTACATGTTCCATTTGGCTTAAACCAGGAAAAACTTTTTATTTCCGGATTTCTTACTCTCCAAATATCTGTCAAATTGTTGTTTATCAAAAATTCTATAATTAAGTTATTTCTTTGTGGTCTACCTGTCCTTGAGGGCCATCTATCAGTCCATTCATCAGGAGTCATATTCCAATCACCACCCATTAAAATATATTCCGTAAGGTATCGATCTTTAAGTTCGGAAATATTTAAAGTTATATCTTCTAACATATTTTTATTCTGACTTTCATTGTTATATCCGTAAACATTGACTAAAATGAAAAACAAACTTTCAACTCTCATTACAGCGATCAACCAATGACCATTCAAGTCAGTTCGTTGTATTACAAGATCCCCAGGAAAGTTATTGAATAAAATTGCTACACCCCCCGACCTTGTTGAGCCATGGCTAAACAAGATTTTGCTGCCCCATTGGTTTGACCAAAAAGATACATCACTATCAGATGAATGAGTCTCTTGTAGGAATATGCAGTTTGATTTTTTACCTTTGCAGTACAAAAATAAGGCTTTTCTTTTAACAGATTCTCTTAAACCCCTAACATTTAAAGAACCAAAACAAATGTTAACATTCAACATGAACTATAGATAGAATATCGCTCACCACGTGAAAAAGATGAGAAAGAAGAAAAAATACTAAATGCTGAGCTCCTCAGACCGCTAACAAGTTTCCACTATTTCAGTTGTCATTTTTAGTTCTCCTGTGTGTCCTCAACTTTGCGTCCATCAATGAAGGCATGTGGACCACGAAAGTAGGCTCGTTTACCCGCACGTCTTGCCTTCTCCACCAGAGGCCATAGGCGCTGTCGATCTTGTATGTCCTCCTGCGGCAACATCTCTGCGAAGCTGATGCGTTCTTGTTTGCAGATTGAAGAATCCTTGGTGCGCCTCCACAGTTCTTCTTTAATTCGCCTTTGTGTGAATAAAATAATGATGTTTCTGTTTCTGCCATCAACTCATTTCCCTAAGCGATGAACCACATCAACGGCCTCTTCTAAGTTCAAATCAGGGGCAATCTTCCCAAGCGTTTGCAAAACCTTCACTCTAATGTTTTCGTCTTTGTCTTCCTTCACCCCTTTTAGCTTTAAGCACCACCTCATTCGGTAGCGCTCTTGTTCTCTCACTCTTCTTTTTAAGTCTTCGTTTTCTTTAAGCAGCTGTTCATTCGCATTTGACAGATTAACAACTTTCAGTTTGCAGTCAACTATCTCTGCGGCATTAAACTCCACAGCCTTAGCCAAGCTGGCAACCATAGCTGCACTTTGTCTGTTTTGTTCCTTGATATCTTCCAGCTGCACTTCAAATTTCTTCTCAAGTCCCAGAATGGCTTCAAAAATAGTTTTATTGGAGATATCATCTTCCTTCTCTAAAGATTTTGTTCTTTTCTCACCCGGCGGTTGTTTTGATGGAGTTGGTGGCGCAGAGTCTGCTCCCCGTTCTCGCTTGTTTAAACCCACGTTGGCAGCTTCAGTGTTAGCATAGTCATGGTCTCTGACTTTAGCATGCGGAGACGTCTTAACATTGGGATTTGATGGCACAAATTGCAGCTTTGCATCCTTAATCATTTTTTGGGTATCCATAGTTATATTTCGAGTGGTATGAGAATAAAGTTACTTAACAAAATCTGCGGTCTTTCGGAGCTCCTGAGAAAACACGACCGTTCAAGCCGCCATCTTGGTGCGCCCCGGTCATTTCGGAGTTACAGTGAAAACTCGCCCAGCCTGCTCCGTGAGAAGCCAATAGGCTCTATGCACGGGAGTTGGTGACGTATTTCCGGTCCATTATAAGGCCACTCTGCGAGTTCCGGTATCGAAGAGACCCCCTACTGCTAGCTTAAAACAGCCTGATTGCTCGTATTTGTTTTGATTATTTGCTCCGACATGGAAGAAAAAAAGGCTAAATTTTTTTTTTCAAAGAAGGAAGGACAGCTCATCAGGGCATCACTGCTGTGTACCGCAGTGTTCAGCTTCAGCTAAATTTAATTCGGTTCTCAGTTTCCACACAATTCCCAAAGACATGGAGCTACAGAAGAGGTGGTTGATTAAAATAAGACGCACCAACTTCACCATCACAAATCACACCAGAGTTTGCAGTCGACACTTTCAAAGTACCGAACTGATAGAGCCTTCAACTCCGAGCGGACGCAGACGTCTGAAGAATGGAGCCATCCCGTTACTTTTCCAGTGGAATAATTTTACTCTGCCAGCCCAAAGGCCCTCAGTTTGGCACAGAGAAGAGAGACCAGAGACAGGTATGGACATAATCCAAAATGAGGACCCTCCCATGGATGAACATCTCCCAGACCACGACTACTGTTCTTCAGCTGAACCAGCTGCAATTGATCTCGCCCTGGACCATATTCAAGATCTCCAAGCAGAAATCGCAAGCCAACGTAAACAAATGGAGGAGATGGCTCTCAGCAACAAGTTTGGACTGGAGCGGTTTGCTGCTTCAGATGACGACATCAGATTTTACACAAGGTAATTTTAAACGCCAGCCTTGTTTGTCAGATTTCTAATAAAATATGTATTCCATGGCTGTCACGTTTGTATTTGATGTTGTGGTTTGGGAGCTTCAAAGTCTGTTTCGGGTTCGCTGTAGCGGCCGGGTGGTGGGGTGGGGTGCAGCAGGACTGACAACAGCTGAGAGTGACAGCGGCTGTCAGAAGCTGATCGTGGGGGGGTGCGAGTTGCTATGAACCAACAACAGAAATAAAGATATATTGCCATCAGCAATATTAAATAAAATTTAAATGGAGGACGCATTACTTAGGTCGAATTTACACTAAATTTTTCATATCACAATTATTTACATGCATCTGTGGTTTAATATCAGTTATTAATGGCTCTTAAAATAATCATTATGCAATATTTATATAATAGATATAGTACAAAATGATGGTATGAAAAATTTGACATTTACATGTTTCCAGATTTGCAAGTTATTCCCACCTGATGGCCTTTTGGAGGCAGATAGAGTCAGCAACACATGACATGGTGCGTGTGACAAGAGGCCGGACGGCACTTGGGAAACTTGATGTCCCTCACTCCACAGGTTTAACGGTAAGTTTATTCCACCCATCCATATGAAGAGCAAAATGTAATCCTCAGGTTTTTTGCATTTTGATTTTATTTTCATTTAGTATCTGAATGATGTTTTACATTTGTTCTTTATTAGAAATCTTCATTAGAATCTTTATTAGGTTCAAGATGACGCCCTTGATCGGCTGCGTGTCTGCTCGGCTCCCGAACTTTTTTGTTTTTCTTTTCTATTCTATGGTTTTTCTTTTCTATTTTATGGTTTCCTCGATATATAGTGTTCATTCTCTGCTGGCGTATGATCGGGACTTCCTGCTCTCGATCCGGTCTGGAATGGACAACCTCCAGTATTCTACTGCGGGACCCGCTTTTCCACCGCCGCTGGAGACTGACGCTAACCTAACTTTAGGGCCCCACCGCCGCTGGAGTCTGATATTAGCCAAGCCTTCAGGCTTGTGATGCCTGTTGGTTTGCCGCTGCCTCGGAGACCGTGGAGAAGGAAACGGGGGAAGCGAGGCGGCTTCTTCGTTCAGCTCCGAAGGATCCGGCGCGGCGAGGCCATATCGGAGCGCTGCTCTGTGACTGTGATGTGGCGGATCCAGCGTCATCTCAACTGTGTTGGGCCGATCTCGCTGCTACCGGGAGCACACGGAACTGAATGTGCCATGGTTGCGTCTGAAACGAGGATGTCCTGCCGGCTGGGAGCTCTCGGAGCGGGGAGCTGCATGAGCGCGTGGGATGTGAGGATGATTCGCCGGCCGGGTGCCCACGCGCGTTTCGGCTGCTCTCGTTCTGGCCGGCTCACTCAGCGGGGAAGAAATCCCGCCAACCTGCGGTATGTCGCAAGATCTGATGGAAACGGACTTTCTCTACAATCGGATACTCAGTCGACTCGCTTTGCGCTGATCAACGCCAGATCGGTTGTAAATAAAACTTTTATTTTAAAGGAATTCTTCCAGGACAATAGCCTGGATGTTTTATGCGCCACTGAATCATGGATCACCCCTGGGGATTCAGCCTCAGTAGTCGAACTGTTACCTCCTGGGTGCTTCTTCATTAACATTCCAAGAGCACTTCGCAGGGGCGGTGGCCTATTGACTATATTCAAATCAGATCTTATCTGCACACCGATTACCCCTCAGTCAACTCCATTGTCCTTTGAATTGAGCTTATTTGAATTGGGTCGTTCTCCTACATTATTATGTGCTCTCATTTACCGCCCACCACCTTACAATAAGGATTTTCTAAATGAATTTGCAGCTTTTCTGGCTGAAGCCTCCTGTAGATATGGAAAAATACTCTTGCTTGGTGATTTTAATATTCATATCTGCTGTCTTGACAAACCTTTGGTAAGGGATTTCCTAGATCTCATTGACTCTTTTATAGCTCTTTTCCATCGCCTGGTCTGGGACGGTCAGGTCTGGGTATTATGGACCGGTATGTACCGGTATGGGTCTAGAAGTTTTCTGGCAAGCGTTTCTATCACATTCCAGGCTCCAGTAACTAGGCGGGGTAGCGTAATGCGTCACGCGCGATGTGTGCCTTAACGTCACACAGCGCGACGAGATCGCGCCAAAACACAACAACAATGGAGTCCAGTCACCAGCGCGTTCTTTCTGTTCTTGGTGTTTGGTATATTCTTTACACCCACATCACGATAGCGTTTAGAGCTATGCTGTGCGCATCGAGGAGGAGGGCAGCTGAAAGGCGACGACGCTTTCTGAAATTAATATCGGACACGAGGCATAACTTTCTACTGTTGAGACAAAGACGGAGGCGCCAGGTGGTAAGTAACTTCTAATGCTGTAATACATGTCGTTATAATCTCTGAAGGGGTGTCTAGGGCAACTATCAAAAAACAAAAAAAAAAAGCACCAAAATCAAATGGTTTGGTTGTATATTGGTCATTTAAGACATGCTAAACATGAAAGGCCAACACCTAACTAAGTTTCAAACAGCTTCTGCACTCATGGTGATGCTAGTCAACAGGAGGGCCTGAATCCTTCACTCTTTACTTCCTGGGCATGTCATAGATAAGTTGTGCAGCTGTACTGAAATTATTATAATTAATTATATAGGTAATTACAAGCAATACCACATTTGTGCATTTTATAAAGTGAACAAAACATAACCAGTCACTGGTAGTGCCATAAAGAACAGCTGTTATTTTAACCTTAAACAAATTCTATTGATGTGAACTTTATGTCTATAACCATACTGTTTCAATCTTTTTCACAGCACTATTCTTTTTACTTTTACTGTGTTATGACTGTTTTTTTTTTTTTAGTTGGCTCTTTTGAATCAGCGACGGCAACCAACTGTGTGGGCCTTCAGCCGTGCCAGCGCCTTCTGGGATGTGACCATGCCAAACTTCACTCCGTCAGATTGGATAGCTCATTTCAGAATGTCAGAAGAGACCTTTTCATATCTTTGTTCCAAGCTCCGTCCAGCCATGCAGAAGAGGAACACCAACTTCAGAGCCTGCGTGCCACTCAGGAAAAGAGTTGCAATTGCACTGTGGAAGCTTGCAACTAACAGTGAATACAGGAATATTCGGGCTTCTTTTTGGTGTCAGCACGACCTCTGTGTGCCGCTGTGTGCAGGACTTCTGTAAGGCTGTCTGTAAACTTTTGCTTGCCGAGGTTATTGCTTTTCCAACTCTGCAAAAGCTACAGGAAATGGCTGACTATTTTGAGACCAGGTGGGGGGTTCCTCAGTGTGTGGGTGCCATCGATGGTTCCCATATCCCAATAATCGCACCACAGGGATTCCACACAGACTACTTCAATAGGAAAGGTTGGCATTCCATAATCCTCCAGGGCATTGTGGATGGCAGAGGCATGTTCTGGAATGTTAATGCAGGTCAGCCAGGTAGCTTGCATGATGCCCGTGTGCTGCGATTGTCCACATTTTGGGACTTGGTTGCTCATGGACAACTGCACCCAACTAGTACCAAGAACATTGAGGGAGTAAATGTAGGCTTTTATGTGCTCGGGGACTCTGCCTATCCTCTGCAGAACTGGCTCCTAAAACCATTTTCTGACAACGGTCGTCTCACTGCTGAACAACAGGCGTACAACAGGAAAACGTCCAGAGCCAGAGTTGTGGTCGAAAATGCATTTGGGAGGCTAAAGGGTAGGTGGCGATGTCTTCTGAAGAGAAACGACAGTGATGTAGAGCTTCTTAAACACATGGTGCTGACCTGTTGTGTGCTTCACAATATCTGTGAGAGCCATGGGGAGGAATATACAGAATGTGACGCACCTGCTGATGAACCAGTGGTTGCAAATATGCAGGAAGTTGCAGAGGAGGGCAGTGATGTGCGTGAAGCTCTGATGCGACACTTCACCCGCTGACCTCAGTTTGTGTTTTTTCTTTCCATTTACTTTGTTTATTGTTTTGACACTTTTAACTGTTCGAAGCCTGTAGTTTGAACTGAAATGTTTGTTTTATTTTCAGAACTTAATAAAGTACACCATTTTACTGTTAACGAACTGTTGCACCTTTTCATTTTAACATATATTTAAGGTGGGCTGTAATGTAATCTACATTTATTATGTAAACGTAAATTTGCGAGCAAAAATTTTTAAGACAATTCATGCACACCTTGTTTTTCTTTGAAAATTTATTGATAAAAAGGACAGACGGATAAAAAAAATTACGGGACAAATACATAGCACCTTACTGCCTGGGTGGTGGCAGGAAGTCAGAGGAGCTGCCCATTCTTTGTGCGACCAGTCCAAGAACAGCATTTAGGGCACCCAAATGTTCAAAATATCGCTCTGCGATCTGTAATTCATGTTGTCTTGATGCTGCTGCGTCTTGTTGCATCCAGTTAACCTGCTCCCGGCTTATGCCTTCCATTCTGTCCATCTGCCTGCCATCTGCGATCTGCAACTCATCAAATATCACCTGTGTCCGTGCTTCCAATCGCCGTCTTCGGTCACCTGGAAACAACAACATTGACAATTACATTTGTGTTTATATGGATATCAAAATGTCAGTTGTCCAGTGAACTTGTCAGTTTTGTTTATGCACAAAGCAATTTTTAGAATGGTCAGACACTACCTGTGCGTCGACGACATGGTAGATGTTCCTCTCGAGTGGTAGTGGACAGAGGTGATGGTGGTGGCGATGGAACTGGCCGAGGCGATGGTGGCACAGAAGGTACGGACAGAGGTGATGGTGGCACAGAAGGTCCTGGAGTGCTACTTGAGGAAGTGGATGGTTCCTCTGAAGAGGGAGTGTTTTCCGCTTCAGATGTGTCTGAAAAACACAGATCAAAAAATTAGTCAGTAAGAAAAGGTCACGAAATAAATCGGTAAGAAAAGCACAATATTTTTACAGCAAAAGAGCATATAGGCATATAGTAAACTTAATAAAACTGCTATGATTTAAGGCCATTTTGTCATTTGGAACGTGTCCACTAGATGGCAGTAATTCGCCAGTGACGTACAGATTAATTGCAATTTAATGTTATACAGGTGCTGGCCAGTAAATTAGAATATCATCAAAAGGTTGAAAATATTTCAGTAATTCCATTCAAAACGTGAAACTTGTACATTATATTCATGCAATGCACACAGACCAATGTATTTCCGATGTTTATTACGTTTAATTTTGATATTTATAGGTGACAACCAATGAAAACATCAAATCTGGTATCTCAGAAAATTAGAATATTCTAAAGGCCAATGAAAAAATGTTTGTTTCTCTAATGTTGGCCAACTGAAAAGAATGAACATGAAAAGAATGTGCATGTATAGCACTCAATACTTAGTCGGGGCTCCTTTTGCCTCAATAACTGCAGTAATGCGGCGTGGCATGGACTCGATCAGTCTGTGGCACTGCTCAGGTGTTATGAGAGCCCAGGTTGCTCTGATAGTCGTCTTCAGCTCCTCTGCATTGTTGGGTCTAGCGTATTGCATCCTCCGCTTCACAATACCCCATAGATTTTCTATGGGGTTAAGGTCAGGCGAGTTTGCTGGCCAATCAAGGACAGGGATACCATGGTCCTTGAACCA